ATATTGATTTTTTGCATGCTACATGCTGATTAATATTCATACCAGTTGTATTTAAAATATTTAAGAACATATCTTCGTAACCTTGGCATCCAAATTTATCAAAAATTGTCATGAATTGGTATTTATCTTTTTTTATTTTTCTTCTCAAACTCCTTGCCTTTACATATCTGAATAATACTGTCTTTTGATTATTCATATCGATGGAGGTTTTTAACTGATGTCCACAATTTCGTCTTGAATTAATTTTAGAATTAGATATTTTTGTCTGATTTTGATCATTTTGATCTTTGCGGTCAGATACATTCAAAATAATGAAGTTCTCTTTGTTTGTCTTAAATTATCTGGGATTTTTTATTGTTAATATTATCTTATTTCATTTTTTTATTTCATACAATGTAGATAGTGAAAAAAATCATTTTTGAAACTTTTTTTATCGTGGGGGAAATTTTTCTCTTAACCCCATAAGTTGAATGTGCATTTCTCCGTGCTGAATAAAATTTATTGTTCTATTTTTTTTTATTGATTCCTTTTCTAAAATTATCCGATTAAAAACAAACAACTATCCATTCTTCCAGAGAAAAAATAAGCAAAAAAAATTACAAAATCGAAAAGAATGAATTCGATGGACCTCAAAAGAGTTATTTGGAAATTGTTTGCAATTCAATTTTTTCCCTTCGTTTTCATTCTTTCAATAATCTTTGATGTATACATATTTTATGAGATGTTGGTTCGATGTAATTTTAAATTTATATATATATATATATATATATATATCTAGGATATATTATATGTGTGGCTTTATAATTTCCAAATGCAGACATGTCGTTTCTTTCCGTTCAATGTAAATATTTTTTTTTTTTCTGTTACAGATAATGATTCAAGTTTTCCATTTTTCTTTATTCTAAAACTTTAGATTTTTTTTATAAAATTAATTTAAATGTTGAGGACAAAATTTTTTCAGGAATTGATTGATATCTTCAATAAATAATTTTTTTTTGAATTTCTATATTTATTATTTTTTTTTGACTTGAAGGAAAACAGACATTTTAAATGGCAACATTGATAACTGAAAAATTTTTTTTTTATTTTTTTTGATAACTTATAATGCCTGGGAAATAAAAAAAAATTTCATTTTAAAAATCTTTCTGAATTTTAGGTCCATCAAGTTTTATTGTAAGTACTTTTGAGCATTTTTTGATAGAGGATTGAAAATTTCCTGTTTAATTCAATAAAAATATGTTCATTTTCCATAACTTTCATATATTTTACCTTAGGGTCTATTTCGTGTTTAGTCTTTCTTTCTTTGAATCTTTTGATTCAGTTTTCGATTTTTAAAATTAAGTAAAGACATCATGGGATTTCAAAAATTTATATACAAACCCAGGCATGATGGAACAAGGTTATAGGTCTAAACAGAAAAACGTTTAAAAACCATTTGTCAAATCAAAATAATAAATATCCTTTAATATAATCAAAGATTGGCAAAAGATTTTGTTTTGAGCATCCAGATAAATAATTATATTCTATATATAAATATATATATATATATATAACGATATATATATATAAAAAATAAATTACATAATTAAATGGATTCTTTTTTTTCGTTTATGGCCAATTTATTGGTATTTTTAATTATATTTTTATTTGGTTCGTAATAAATATATATTCAATCCATTAATTTATCTAACCAATATGAAGAAAAAAACGTTTCTGAATGGAAATATAAAAATTATAGAATTTGTATATTTTATATTAATACATGTTCATTTTGTATTAAAGTTTTTCGATATTTTAACATAAAAGTATCTAAATATATATATAAATATATATATATATATAAATATAATAAATATAATATATTTATATATATAAAATATATATATATAATATTATATATTATAGTTTAATTTTAATCCATAATAAATATAAGGATAATAATAAAAATATATTAATATGTATATTTTTTCCAAAATTTTCTAAAATTTGTAGTACACCTTCTTCTATAACATCCTTCCGTTTTTTTTAACCTATAAAATTTTTAATTTCTTGCTAATCCCTTCGATATCAATATATAAGGATTAAGTTAAATAATTAAATAATAAATATCTTTAACTTTAAAAAGAAATAAATTCTCTCTTTCCCCTCAAAATTCCTAATTTAATAAATTTAAATGTTTAATACGGCATTCAAAAATTATAAATTTTCTTTTTAATCAATTTTTTTTTGAAGTAAAATAGTGATGATCCGCAATCCTTTTAAAAAAGCTGATCATGAAATAAATTATTAAATGGAACCTTAAAGTTGTCTGTTTTATTTATATAAATATATATATATATATATATATATATATATATAAATATATGAAAATAATTTATTGATATTTGTACTAAATACAAACAATATTCAAAAAGTGGAGAAAAAGACATTTTTTTGAGGAAAAAAAGTTCAAATTTTCAGTCAATCCATTACATTCATTATATGCTAATACCTTGGGAAAGGTATTAATTTTCTTCTTTTTCAATTTCTTAGTTAAAAATAGTTTTTCTGGGTTTTATAGTCTTTGGAGAGCAATTGGTCTACAAGAATTTATCTGAATTTAAACTTCTGTAAGTCGTTCGAAATTTATTCATTTAAAAACACATTAACCCATCATCCTTATTCAGCTACATCAAAAAATGTGGTTGGTTTTATTTATGCCAATAAATTTACTATAATCAAATCATATTTTCAAAGTTTTAAAAGTTATTAGATCGAATTTTCAAAAATTTTTTAGAATTTTCGATTTTTAATCATTCCTGTTTATAAAAATTTATATATATATTCCTATATTTTTTATATATATATACACCACAATGAAGATCAGAGAAAGAAAAGATTTAAAAAGACAGAACAATGAAACCTCAATCTCCGTAAACGTTTTTAATTTAATTAAATATTGATAAATAATGTTTTGTATGATTTCATCGGTAATATTTCGTTTGACTTCGTTTTAGTGTTATATATTCTATATATATATATATATATATATATATATATATATATATATATATATATATTAATTCAGTTTTTGCAAAGATTCTAGATATCTCATAGTTAAAAATTATCTATCAATAATTCTTTAAAAATTTAATATAAGTCTTATTATTTAAAAAAACCATTTATATTCGGAATTTTCTCTACAAATGTCCTCAAAATTGGTGTTAAATAGTTTTTCAATTCACCATTTTTTGTTTATTTCAGTATTTAAAAGACCATTGTTTGAATTTAATTCTTTTACATGTTTTTATATTTGAAAACACTCCAACATTTATTCATGCAACAAAAACAAAGTCCATTTTATATATATATATATATATATATATATATATATATATATAATGTATTGTCATTCAAATCAAAGATATTAGAGATTTGTCGGGACCGGACAAGAAGGCTCTTATATCCTTTTCGTATATCCGGGTTTGTTATATTTTATATACATTCCAAAAGTCCAAATTTTGTGAATAATGAAAATCTTTCTTATATTTTTCTCTTTTATATCAATAAAAAATTGGTTATATTATACTGTATATATATATATATATATATATATATATATATATTGTCATCTACAGACAGACTGTTTATCTGTATCACAGCTCATCAGTATGGTTGACGTTAGGTTGCCTCTAGCTAGGATCGAAACCCGACTGAATTGGCGTCAGTCGGGAATTCTACCACTAAGCCGTTGGTGCAAAGATGAATTTAAGCGTATTTATTTTTAGATAAACACACAGTGACTGAGAGAACTTGATTCGTTTTACCGAAAAGTCTTGCATTATTAACAGTAATAGTCACTGTTTACAACTATTTTTCTTATATATATATATATATATATATATATATATATATATATATATATATATATATTCAAATATGAATATGTTATAAAATCAGTGCAATAAAATGAATTGTTTCAATATTTTGGTGTTTTAATAATTGACTTATGTGTTGAATGTAGAATATATTAGAATATATTTTTGCCATGGTGATTTTTATAAAATATGTATTTATAATTTTTCCAATAAATTATATATGTTCTACACTGTATTTTTTTTTTAAGAATAGTATTTCTTTGTTATTGATTTTATTCCATATATTATAATATAATACTTGATATATATATATATATATATATATATATATATATATATATATATATATATATATATATATATATATATAATTTCATTTGTTTGAAAATTTATTTTTAATGGATACTTATATTTTTGTAGATTTTTGCTATACACAAACACAACACACACAAACAGACACATATATATATATATATGTGTTTTTGTGTGTTCTATATCCCATGTGTGTGTTTTGCCAAAAAAAGTTATAGTATAAAATTACGTTAAATAATAAATATGGTGTTTTTTTTCTCTTTTGCAAAATTAATGGATATTTTTCGAATCGTCTAAAATGTATATTCCCTTTAAAAAGATTTTAAAAATTAATCTTTACATTTTTAATGGGGGAACCGATTTTGATAATTACAATTTAATTTCAGCAATAGAAATCATTTTCAAGAAATCTAAAAATGGAAGAAAAATAATTAGTTTATGGAGAAAAATGAAAGATTTTGGAAGCATTTTTTTTTTTTTTTTTATTTATTAAATTTTTGTTTTAAATTTTTTGTTTGGCTCTGTTTTGAAAATTTTTTTTACGAATAAACACAGACCCAGGTAATATATGCTTGCGCGTAATTCGACATTCGAGGTGGTGTAATGGTAAAAATTTTCGTCTCGCTAGAATAATTACGAATTTCTTTGTGTTCGATCCTCAATAGATTTATTCCCTACTTTTGCCTTGTTTACATCTAATTTACCTTGGAAAATCAATGTTTTAACAAACACGTAGTTTCATTAATTTACGGCCGTATCATATTTTTTACAGCGGTTCTCATCACGATCATTTGGCCTAATTGTAAATGATGTATTTAGATGATAAGGATTATGGCCGTATCACTTTGAAACACAGGTTCCTGTACGATCACCGAAGTTAAGCAACGTTGAGCCTGGTCAGTAATTAGAAGAGTAACCGCTTGTGAACCGCAAGTGCTCTAAGCTTGAATGTGCGGATGATAAGGATTATGGCCTTATTATATTTAAAAACACAGGTTCCTTTCAATTACCGAAGTTATTAGAAACGTTTTCTTTTTAGTACCTAATGGGTGTTTAATTTTAAACCGCAAATGCTCTAAGTTTGAAATGTGCGGATGATAAGGATTATTTATATCACTTTGAAACACTCATTTTCTTTACGATCACCGAAAGTTTTTAACGTTCCTTTTAGGATTTATATTTAACCGCTTGTGAACCGCAAATCAATCCTCTTTAAATTCTATTTGCGGATAAATAAGAATTATTATTCTATCATTTTGAAAACAGGTTCCTGTACGATCACCGAAAATTTAAGCAACGTTGAGCCTGGTCAGTAATTAGAAGAGTTGTTTCCTTTGAAGAGCAAAGTGTGTTTTTTTTTTTTGGAATGATATGGATTATTATTTATCACTTTTGAAAAAAGATAAGTTTACGATACATCAACAAAATCCAGCAACTTTGAGCCTGGTCAATTCCCCAACTAGATGAGTAACCGTTGTGAACATTTTAGTTCTAAGTCTTGTACATGCAGATGATTTGGATTACGGCCATATCACGTTGAAACATCGTTTTCGGATTCTAACATATTAAATTTTTTCATTCGAACATGGCCCCAAAACCTGATAGGAGTTTTAAATCTGAAATACCGGGCGCTATAAGCTTAGATATTCGGAATGGTAACGTTTCGGAATGAGATATCTTAATCAAGTTTGTTATATTCGCTTACATTTCTTCTCCCCCAACTATTGATTAAATATCAAGAGGGAATGGCTCTTATAAAATTGATTGGCAGCCTGTCTACTGCATAATCCAACGGCAGCCTACTGCGGGAATTCCTCTGTCAAATCAATCATCAATCGAAAGGTGATATGATCGGTATTGTGAGAAATTTGGAGAGCTGTGATCGAATTCCAACAGGCTTTGTCACATTCCCTTACGCTGAAATATCTTTCGATGATTATAGACAACAAAACTACAACAGATATCTCAAGAAAGAACATCATTACATATTTCAAAGAACTTTCACAGGGTGTGGCATAGAAGGTTATGGCAAGTTACCCTCAGGGTTTCATCCTTGGCTCAACTTGTTTGGATTTTCATTAATGAGTTTCCCGATTATATTTTTTCTCAAATTCCTATCAATAAATTGGTAACACAAAACAATTTACATCTTCTTGATATAAATAAGTTCTCTACAGTGAATAAGTAATTAATTATTGACTCTTTGAAAAGCGGAGGGCCGAGTTCGTTTTGATAAAATTTTATTATTTTTTAATATATTTGGGAAAACAGTATAAATTTCTGCTTTTCCTATCAGTCACGAATCGAAAGAACATGATCCTGGAAAAAAATTTATCACGTATAGACATAAGGCTGGTTTGAAGGTTAAAATGACAACAGATATCAAAAAAACTTTTTTTGAACTGGGGGTAAAAGATTCTCAAATGAAATCATTTTTAACGTTTCAAAACTAAATTGCATTCTATTAATCATCACCCTCTGGTTTCCATCGGCATGGCTAATGCTAACCCCAAGAGAACGAAATATGCGTCTTCTTCACATTGACGTTCTCCTGCTGGCCTTAACTTTTTTTAGTGATAATATTTATATATATATATATATATATATATATATATATTTATATTTATTTGTTTGTATGTCCCAATGGCTTATTTTAATGGATATTTTATTTGTGTAAATTTTCAAATAACATCACATTTACAAACACATTATATATAAATATATATATATATATATATATATATATTTATATATATATACAAATGTATACGGAAAAACTGATTTAAAGACTATATACGGATATGTTATTATGCTGTTTTAATGTTAATATAATGTCAACGTCGGACGTTTCGGTCTAATTAGACCATCTTCAGGACATATTCATAAAATATAATTAACATTATCATATTTAAAATAACAAAAAAGATAATTACATAACAGTAATTTTTTTTTGTTTTTTCCGGATATTTTTTCCGACTTTTAATCTATATTAATATTTTGCTTACATATATACATATATATATATATATATATATATATATATATATATATATATATTTTTTTATACTGTGTGTGTGTGTGTGTGTGTTTGTATTTTGTTATAGTTTAATATAATTACACACTGAAAAGGACACACATATTTTTATCTCCCGATATCTATATTATATATATTATTAAATCTACATTTCGTCCATATTAAAAATTTCTGCCAAACCAGACCACAAATTCCCTTAAACAATCTATCTCTATTTGTTAAACCTCTATTTATCAATGATTTTTTAATAATCATTTTCTAAATTTTTTTATATGAATTATTTCTTTTGCAATTTTTTCGCAATTTTATCTTCGATTTGGTACCATATTTTTATGAATTTAAAAAAAATTATATTTGATATTATAATGATAATATAAAACATTTTTCCCTCAAAACTGGACATTTTCTCCATTAAAATTTGAACTAAATTTGTTTTCAATCAACACATCTGCACAGATGCTATATATATACACAATGTTTTTATTTTTTTACTATACATATATATATAGTATATAACAATCAAAGATTTTGAAAAATTGCTAGTGAGATTTGTTTTCAAATTAACGCTTTTCTTTTATAAAAAATATTATTCATAAAAAAAAATTAAAAGATTAAGTTTAAAGGCATTTTTGAAAGTTTTTATAAAAATCATTCCCCATTTCATTTAATTTTAATAGGAGAAATTGCTTTAAATACTTTTTGATTTTATTGAGATTAAATATTCTTTTCAAAAAAAATGCTTTTTATAAAATTTAAATAAAATCTAATTCAATTTTCATAAATTTATTCAAAAGCTGTGAGATCATATAAATTTGAATATATTAAAATATTTTTAACTTCTTTCCCACGCTAATAAAATTGTCCGTCTGATTTAAAAAATTTTTTAAATTTAATTTCGAAGACATTTTAGATAATTAAACGAAAATATTCAATTTACTTTCATTTATTCTCGTTCCTATATATATTTAATAAATTTATATTTTATAAAATGATAAAAAATAATGTTTTTTTTTAACACACAAACACACACATATATATATATATTGATAGATTTAAAAAAAAAAAAATTTTTAAATTGTATTTACTTAAACAAATACGTTGTTTGCAACCCTTAATGAAAATATTTATTTATATTTCCCAAACAATATCAAAATTAAAAAATATATCTAAGAATTATTTATATAATTATATATATATACGTTTGAGGTATTCATAAATATATAATATTATATATATTTATATCTATATATATATATATATATATATATATATATATATATATATATATATATATATATATATATTATTTTTATAAAAAAATTATAACATAAGTATGTTATAAAATCACTACAAAAATAGCCATTTTGTTTCAACACACTCTGTGTCTTATCAAGTGATGATGTTGAAAAAAATAAATGGTTTAAAAGTTTCAGATTAATTAACGATCCTACACTTTAAACATTGTTACAAAAGCTAGAATAACCAATCAAAAAAAGCAAGTATAGAAAGATTCAAAAGCTTGACAACGAAATCATGCTTATAATAGCTATTCAGATCTTTAAAATACATTCAGCAATATTAAAAATAATTTATACTAACTAATAATTATAAAATTATATGATAAAATTTAATATTAAAATTAAAAACTGGCAATTTTAAAATCCAAATTTAATCACTATTAAGTTTAAAAACTATAAAATTATTGAGAAAAAAAAAAAATATATATGTTTATTCAATTCATTTCTTCATTGAAATTACGTTCGACAAGACGCTAAATATATCCGGTCATTTGACAATACATGTATATATATTTTTTTTCTTTTCCTAAAGTTTTGCGATTTATTTTAAAGTTTGTGAATATGGTCATAAACTCATGATGCAAAATAACAAAACACAATCAATTATAATACATAAACTATCCAGACATATATTAATTCTACTAAAAGACAGATTTTACACACATGGATTTAGATTTTAAAATTTAAAAATGAATTTTTCCTTAAAATTTTGGCTAATCTTTATATATGGATAGATGAATTTAAAGAAATATTCAAAAAATATGTATTTTATAATATTTGTCCAAGTTTGCAAATAATATAAAGATAAAAATATTTTTATAACTTAATTCTTCATTTTGTATACATATTTAAATAAGGAAATGCATGTCCAAATTAAAAAATGAATAAAGAAATTCCGAAAATTTATTTTCTATTTGATGAAATAAACCCTACTTGACATTTTAAATCTTCGAGCAGTATATGAAAACCATCTTCCTGTAGAAAATACCAATATTTAAAAACAAATTATACTTTAACACCGTGGGCCAACAAAATAAATGTAATATGGTTTAACAAGGCACGATATAAGGAAAATTACATTCAAATATTTTGCATTTTATCGAAATATTTAAAGAATTTAATATATATATAAATTTTCATATTTTATTATATTATAACATTTAATATTTAGTAATTCTTTTATTTTAAAATCATTAAAAATTGTATAATTTTATTCTATTATTTAATATATATAACAGTGGACATAAAATCTTAAAAAAATTTATATATATTTGTATAAATTATTTTTAATTCTATATATAAGCTTATGATATACATTTTTTCATTTTATATAATATAAAAAGCCTTAATTGTCTATATTCACTATAAAAATATTATATAGATATGATGGATTATTAGTCATTTTTGCCTAAATAAAATTTAACTCAATTTTGTATTTTTAAAAATGATATATATATATATTTAAGGATTTAAGGTATTTTTAGGATGATATATACATATATGTTAGACAATCATGATTTTCAGATGAAACCCCAGATCTTTTCAAAATGTTTTTTTTAATCCAAATGTGAAGTGTTGATTTAAATATTATACGTGCATCCTATAT